CTGTCACCCTGCCTGGCTCTCCAGAACACTCTGTGAACAAGGGAAGTGACAATCATGGGTCTGAGGTTACATCCACGTTGCATTTTCAAAGCTTTTCATTAATTCTGTTTGGGAAAACAATTTCTTCCCTGGCTTCTGGGAATTACTTTCCAGAGAGAATGAATTTCTGAGAATTTAAGTCAATCCTACATAGTCATAACAATGACATTTTTAGTTTCTCAGTATCCAGGATATGGATTTTCAATTTTTTATCATCCTTAGCAGCAAAGCCATACTCATTCCTAAAACTTCCACGTATTTAAGATCTTGTGCATAGTTTAATCTTTAGCATTAATTAGTTAAAAAAAAAAAAAAAGTTAAAAAAAAGGATAAATGGTGCTTTCCCCCCCCCCATCAAAGCAGTGCTGCAAAGTGTTCTTGCTCCTGGTCATGTCCCACTGCCGATGGCTCAGGAGCCACCGTGGAGAGGGGACTGCCCCCTGCAGCACCATCCATGGGCTCTGCTCAGCCTCCATGTGCAAAACCCACCTATAAAAGGAAGCTATTAAACTACTGAACAGGAATTTAAGGTGGAATATGCTTATCACCAATCTAAAATTAGATCAGAAATTAGATTAGACACACTATAAGACTTCCACGGCTATTTCAATCGCGTACGTTCTCCGGGAAGTTCAGGGTTCGGGCAGAGTTGGGAAGGAATCCACACACTGAGCTGTGTGAACGTGTGGCTACGGCACCAAATGGCCTCAGCCATGGCCCACGTGGCCACCAGAGGACAGAAATGTGACTTCACTGAGGACCACAATTGTTCAGATGCCTTAATCAGTGAAATATTGCTTATTCAGGGCAATGAGGATGCTGACCTTGAGTGGAAAAGCAGGAACAGTCAGTGGCATTTGATCTACTTTCAGAGTGTCTGAAAAAGCTTTTATAGGAATTTCTGGCACAGGTTCTGGTGAGTTCCAACCTTTCCATAGTGCTAGGAAGGGCTGGAATTCCATCTTTACATTGTGCTCTATCAATTTGTGCTCACACGATAGTAAAATGCTGAAGACAAGCCCAGAACTGCTCAGTACTCAGAGAAATTCCCAAATGGAATGAGAAATAAGAAGTTTTGATGACATGACCATCATTTTGGTCCTGCTAATCAAAGGCTGAGAGGCTCCCACTGCATCTCTAGAGAAAAGTGATTTAGATATTGCAAGAAATTTCAAATGCAAACTTCGGGGATGAGAATCCCAAAAACTGGTTCTGTCCCTGGTCAGATTGGCTCCAGTGGCTCCCAGTGCAGGGGACCAACCTCAGGATAGTCCAGGAAAGAGAGGGAAAATAGTCACACAAATTAAGTAATAAATAAATAAACAACAAAGAATAAGAAGAATTTTGTCCCACAAACTGCTCTTGGCCACAAGGCTTGTGTGTCTCCAGGGATTTTGGGACCCAAACCCACCTCTTCAATAGCTCCATCTCTCAGCCTTTTTTTCACCTGCCAGGGACAAGGGTCCATTTGTCACTCCCTCAGGTGAGCACAGGGCCAGGACACAAACACTCAGTGGATTTACACACACTGAGATTATCTGAGCTCAGGAGCTGGAGTGTGAGACAAACCCCAAACCCCAGAGCAATGTGGTGCTCAGCGAGGGTGTGATGGGAGCTGAACTCAGCCCATGGAGCCCATCCTTCCTCAGGCTCTGGAGTGACTGGAGCAGAGAACGTGAGCTGGCAGCTCGTGCAACCCTCGCTGCACCCAAGGGAGAATGCAGCAGTCTCCTCAAAGCTGCAGTCATGGAATGGTTGGGGGTGGAAGGAAACTTAGAAATCACCTAGTTCCACCCCCTGCCATGGCAGGGACACCTCCCACCATCCCAGGTTGATCCAAGCCCCATCCAACCTGGCCTGGGACACTTCCAGGGATGGGGCAGCCACAGCTCTCTGGACAACCAGCACCAGTGCCTTATAGTGAAGAATTTCTTCCTAAAATCCAATCTAACCCTGCCATCTGACAGATTAAGGCACAGAGCTCCAGTCCCTGTTCCCACAGAGCCAACAACAGGCTAAAATAGCCCTGGGCTGGCAGTGCCATTGTGGTGGGGGCGTGGGTTCAGCTGAACAGAGCTGCTGGGATGAGACATTCCTCTTCCCCAAGGGGCCAGACAAGATTACTGTATATGGACAAGCCTGGTGACGAGGCCATCCTCGGCTGCACAGCTGGGAGAGAGCCCCGCTGCCTTCCAGGGCCACGATTGCCCCTGTCAGAATTCCAGAACAAGGCTTTATCTCGTGGGGATCCAGCAGGGGGGCAGAGCCAGGCACGAGAGGATGAGACCAGAGAAGACCCACAAACAGCTGCACAGCAAAACCTTTGCTTTTCAGCTTCTTAGCAGCTTTTAACCATCAAGGAGAGCCCCAGGCTCCTGGTGGGGTCCCACTCTGGGTTCCCACAAGCACAAGAACTTGCCCAGCAACACAGCTGAAACAAAGTTTTTTATATTATTTTTCCCTATTTTTTTTTTCCCCTCTTGTCCAGTCTTAAAATCAGAACCAAGATGAAGCCAAACTGAGGTTGTGATGGTGGCTCTGCTCTGAGCTTCCTGTTGCCCCACCAGAACAGCCCTCCCAGCACTGGGACAGTGACAGATTGGCACATCATGGAATAGGTGCTATAGAAACCACACAGTTCTCAGAAGCAAAAAATTTCTCACCCCCCCCGCCCCCCCTCAAAAAATAACCCACTTAGTTCACATATTTTCTCTCTATACTGTATATATATATTATATATAGACACGATTCTCTGGTAAACATTTACAAGATATCATAAATAACATTGAAAATTTCTATCTCCATTTGCACAACAGCACGCACTCACACGCCGGCACACAAGGACACACAGTCAGGTACAATCAATAAATAAATACTTTTTTTCCCCCCAGAAATTATTCAAAAAACACTGCTATTGAGTGGCCCAGAGACACTCTCAGTTAATACAGACAGCAAATATTGTGCAGAATTTCTTGGCTGTTTTTGTCTAAAAACCAAGGAAAGCTTGAAAGGTTTAGTGTCAGCAACGTTGCTTGGTCAGGTGGTGTTTCCTGTGGGTCCCTGTCCCTCAGGAAGGGGAGAACAGAGCACATCCCTTTCCCTCCAGACAGGTGACAGATCTGTCCTAGAACCCTGAGGGAACAGGAACAGCCTGGGAGGGAGAGAGGATTCGAGCTTTTCACTCTGCTTGGTGGAAGGACAAAAGATTCTCACAGGAACTGGCAGATCTCAAGCTCTTTGTTTCCTGTGCAGCCCAGCACCCTTTGGGTTTTTACTGCTTCAGGGAATTTCCCAGATTGTTGTACACATCTTGTTGGGATTATGAGGGTTGGCCATTGCTCTCCCCCTGCCCCAGCCCCTTCCCCAAAGCGTTCAGGATGTGCCACTGCCTTTTCCAGCTGCGACCTCCATGTCCCAGAACACAGAAATTGCTGATTTGCTCAGAAACAGCAAACCGCTCTATCACGCTCCTCAGACCTTCCCTGAAGCAGCATTTTTCCCTGGTGCAGATTGACAACTGCCTTTTTTTTTCTGCCAGCAACATCTGACACATGCCACGAGCCAACACAAACCAGCACAGACAGATATTCCATGGCAGGAGGAGGAATGACCCCTTTCCCTCCCATGGGAGCACTCCAGCAGCAAGGCAGGAGCAGGGCCAGAGGAGAGCACACACACAGCACACATTGCACCAGGGGGGAACACAAATGTTTGCAGCAAAACTTGAGAGAAAGTACCCTCAGAGAGAGCTCCAGCCCTCCCTGGCTGGGCTGGACCCTCCACCCACCCCCTCTCCTTTTCCTGTATTGTTTTTACCTGAGTTGAAAAATGACTCTGAAGCCTCTGCAGGGCAGCCTGTGTGGGACACAGCAGCTGGAGAGGCACTTCATGCAGTGGGCTCCAGGCTGTGCAGGAAAAGTGGCCACACAAGTGCATCTTCCCAAAGCAAAGACCACTCAGGGACCTTGGGCTATTTTCCTCTCACAGGCCTGTGGGAGAAGCCCACCAAGACCTAACTGGAGATGCTCAGTGTGTTTAGGGGACTCAACAGCCAGCCCTGAAGCTGTCAGAGGGAAAGTCAGGATAATCAGGAGCTCTGACTTGCCTTCTGAGGAGCCCTTCCCTCACAAGAGCTCAGGGGAACAACAAGGAGACCAGACTCCAACCACAGGCAGCTAAAGTAAGGCAGGTAAGAAAACCTCCAGCCTGGAGTTCCCAGAGGAGGTCAGGACCAGATTTCTCAGTGTTCAGAGAACATTACGGAGGCTGGATTTTGAAAAATAACCCCAATGCTGAATTTGGAGCTGCTCTGAAAATCCATCCAGACACGAAGCTCTTGTGTGCTCGGATATTGTAGGAACAATGTAAAATCCCAGGGGCAAAACAGAGCCCTAAAAAAAGAAAATACTGAAGGGGAAGCAATGCGTAGAGGGACGAGATCAAAAGAGGAATTTCTGTGATCAAAGTCCCCCCCATTACTGGCAGAACCTCACTGTGTTGGTGAGAGGCTGAGAACTGGCAGCATCCCTGTGCTGCCTGAGCTCACAGGGCTGGCTGGCTGGCTGCCTTCCCACACCACAGGGAAGGGCTGCCCAAGGAAGCAGCTTTCCAAGGAATCAGCTTTCCCTCTGTGCCACCAAGCTCTGCTCCCCCAGCCCCCGAGCTCCGCCCTGGGATGTGGCAATGCCGGGGCAGTTTTGGTGGCCACGGCAGCTGCTGCCTCTCCAAGGGCAGGAAGCCACTGCCTGGTCCTGCTCCCAGCACAGGAACACACCTGGAGGGATCTTTGGTTGAGTCACTGCAGAAGGTTTGAGCCGGGGCCTGTGCTGAGCCCAGCTCACATAGCAGCACGTGTCCCACCACCTGAGTCCCACAGGTGTGGCACCTGGAGAAACAGGAGAAGGGAGCCAGCATCGGAGGGGAGTCCCGGCTCTTTGGGTGCCTCGTCTGCCCCAGGTCCTTCATTTGTTCTCGATCAGAGTCTGCACTTTATAGACCAGGTCCCGAGCCAGCTTCAGGATCTGTTTGGTGTTGTGGCGTTCTGCCATTTCTGCAACACAGACAGAGGGACCAGAGCGGTCAGACCTGAGCAGCCCCCACCCCACAGCTCTGCTGGGGACATTCCCAACCTCCCCTCACAGGGACACCTGGCTCCGGAGAGCCATCCTTAACCAGCCCCTCGGGATGGGGAAAGCAGCAGGAAGCACTGCCCAAACCTCAGCTCCCTTCAACACACCCAGGCTGGCCACTGCTGAGGAGAGCAGGTGGATTCCAGCCCCACCCATCCCTCAGGGCCCTGGATGTCAAACATTTCCAGCACTGCCCAGATGGGACTGTCCACAAGCCAGCCACGTGCTGCCTAAACCTGAGCAGCTGCCCCAAACCCAGCCCAACAGAGCACCAGCTGTACCATTGAAAAACTTGATGATGTCTGTAAAATCCATGTTGTTCTCCAGGATGATGTCCCGGTACATCTCCACCAGGGCCAGGGCTATGAAGAGCACGTAGTGAGCAGAGGAGACGTGAGCAGCAGCCCAGATGGTCTCCCAGACGGCGAAGACGTCGTCGTACACCAGCTCTGTGAGCAGAGAACAGCAGTTACCACTCCACTCACCCCACCCTGGCTCACAGAGCTCTCAGCAGCGCTGGGGAGACACCCTGGGTGCTTCCTTCCCACAGGAACCTGCTCCAGCTGGGAGCAGTAAGTCAGACATCTGTAGGGAGAAATGTTCTGCCCGGCAGCAGGTGACACAGGCCCCAGGACACACTTGTGGAGAGGCTCAGCAGCAGCTCTGGAACAACAGGTTCTGTATCTAGACAGAACAATCAGCCAGACATAAACCAGGGAAAAGTGGAAAGGAATTAAAAATAAGTTTAAACCTGCTGAGAAGCCTGAAAGCAGACCCTGCCTCACCCTTGGGTGGTCTCAGCACACACCTCTCTTGAAGTCCAGGAGAAACCATCGGTAGCAGAAGTAGAAATGAGTATAATCTCCATTCTGGTGCATCAGCTCGAAGAGCTCAGAGTCCAGAATCTGTCAAGAAAAGCCAAAGGAAACTCAGGAATGCACACACACAGCACCAGCTCCCACCAGCTTCTCTCTCCCTTTCCTGGCAGTCCTTAAAGCCCCTGCTGTCCTTCCTGCTCCCCAGCACTAAACCCCAGCTCCTCCAGGACCAGCTTTCCCTCCTGGGTGAGAGGAGCTGTCATCCCTGTGCCAGGAATTCTCACCTGGATCAGCGACCTCATGTTGGCAAAGTGGGTGTCCATGGCTCCTCCGTGGGGGAAGTTCTGGTTCATCCTCTTCATCAGCTCCGTGAAGCAGCTGAAAGCCAGAGCCTCTGTGCAGGGAGGAGAGACATCACTACTGCTGCTCCTGCAGAAAGCTCACCCTGGCCCCAGGGTGGGCTCCTGGGAGCCAGGCAGCATCAGGGACAAATGGGATCCTGCTCCACACCTCCAGGCACTGCACTGCTAAGGGCACCTGGCACATCCCCCCCAGATCCCCACACAGGGACAGGGAAAGCAGAGCAGAGCCACCCACTCACCATCATCCAGGATGACCAGGAGAGGGGCCAGCAGGTCACACATCCCCTGCACATAGCCAATCTCAATGTGCTGCCAGATGTAGCTGTGTGAGAGAGCAGGAGAGGTGACCTGGGACCTGAGTGCCATCATCTGCCACCCCCCTTTGCCCATGCCCTTTCTCCCTTCCCAGGATGCTGGAGTAAATCACACCTGTTCATTCTGTTATCCCTGTGCTGCAAATGATTAAATTCTTGTGGTGCCCCCCATGTAAGGCATGCATGGCACAGTCCTGGATCAACACCCTGCCACAGCCACATCCAGGGTCAATCCAGGGCTGTGCCATGGCCATTGCAGGGAAAAATCAGTGCAGGGAAAAGCAAAATGGGGAAGCACAACACAGTGGGGTCATTGGTTAAAGGGCAGAGACTGATAAAATTTGTTCATCACTCAATCTCATCCTTCTCCCTCCATTCATCCCCTTGGTTCTCTGCAGACTCTGCCTGCCTCGCCTTCCCATTCCCAGTGTCCCAGGAAGCACCCAGCCCTGCAGGGATATCTTCCCTTATTTGGTAGCAAGGCAAAATGTGTTCCGAGAGGACTCAGATCTGCTGCTGGCACAAGGGAAGGATCTTTTCCATCCTGCCCATTGGTTTTCCAAAATGTGCTGTGCTGAAGGTCTAATCTCAGCAGAGATCTCCAGCTCTAGCTGTCAGGTGAAGTGACAGCACTGATGGAACAGCAGCTTCTCCTCATGTTTGCAAGATGAGTAATAATATTTTATCCTTTGCTCCCTGTGAAGCAGCAGCTGAGCTGGAGCTGGTCTGAGCCTGTGAGTGTCACTAGGCGAGCTCTGAGTCACAGGGACTCAGAAATGCACCCAGGTCTGTCTCTCTCCTGGGATTTTGGGTAGGCACAAACCATTCCGGTGCTTCAGGCACTTTCTCATTAGCACTACAGCTCTGTGGGCTGATCCTCATTAAAACATTTTTCAGGCATGCTCCAGGAAGCAGGTGGGCTGCACTGTGTTCCTGGGCAGCCCAGGGAGCCTCTGCCTTGGCCAAAACCCCAGGACACAGCAGTGATGGGGAAGGACAGCCGGACACCTCAGCCTGGGAACCGCCGCATACTCGGAGCTGTGGCCCCGGTGCTGGGATGACGAGGGGAGGAAGGCAAGGAGCAAAACTCATTAACCACAACGCAGTTTGAGGCTCCAGCCTGCAGGTGAATCCCAGGAAGCCCCCCGCAGCCCCCACCTGCACATGACATTGCGGAGCTTCTCCAGGTTGGCAGGGGTGAAGTACCAGTAGTTGCGGTCACAGCGCTGCACATCCTTCTCGATGCGGTGCAGGTTCACCGTGTACATGTCCAGCAGCTCTGGCTGCCCAAAACAAGAGCAGAGTTGATTTGTTTTCCAGTAAAAAGCAGGGAGGGAGTTGCAAGGGCAGTAGAGCGACAGGGCAGAGTTTGGGTGGAAGGTGGGAGCCCCTCTATGCCCAGCCAGGCAAGTGCAGGTAAACCCTGCCCCTCCACTCAGCCCCAGTGAGGCACATCTGGAGTGTGGTGTTCAGTTCTGGGCTCCACAGCTCAAGAAAGACAAGCTGCTGCCAGCGAGGGTCCAGCAGCAGCCAGAGAGATTATTTGGGGTCTGAAGTATCTCTCTGATGAGGAGAGACTGCAGGAGCTGGGCCTGGTCAGTCTGGGCAAGACAAGACTGAGAGGAAATCTCATCAATCCATACAAACGTCTCAAATCATGTGCCAAAAGGAGAGTGACAAACTCTTTTCAGTGGTGCTGAGTGACAGGACAAGGAGCAATGGCCATAAACTGAAACACAAGTTCCTCCTCAACCTGAGGAAAAACTTCTTCCCATTTAGGTTGGCAGAGCCCTGGAACAGCTGCCCAGGGAGAGCACAGAATCTCCCTCTCTGGAGACATCCCAAACCCACCTGGACACATTCCTGTGTCACCTGCCCCAGGTGACGCTCCCTTGGCAGAGGAGTTGGGCTGGATGATCTCCAGAGGGCCCTTCCCACCCCAGCTCTTCTGGAGTTCTGTGGTCCTGTGAGGCAGCCAGGAAGGAACCCCCCCTGGCCAGGTCTGTACTTACAGAGTAGGTGACACCCGTGGAGGAGAGAGCAGCTGGTTCACTGCTGGTCAGGTCAGTCACAGTCAGAGAGTCCAGCTGTGGGTACAGACTCTCCATCTCTGGCTCCTCAGAGAGGTTGTCCTCACTCTCCACCAGGCTCTGCTTCTCAGCCTCGCTGTCTGCCCAGCTCTCCACCACAGCCAGGGCCACGCTGTCACTGTCACGCAGGAGCCCCACCGAGCCCTCACCCATGGGGACAAAGTCCACACTTCCACCGGTGGGAAATTCACCTTCCAGGCTGTCTTGGCCTTCCAGCTTCTCCTGCTGGACACCATCCGTGTCCGGTGGGGCTGGCACATCGGACCCAGCAGCCTTGCCCTGGGAGCTGGATGAGGATTTGGTGGTTTCCAGAGCGCTGTCCTCGTTGCTGAAGCTGCGCTCCGAGAACCCCGATGTGATGGAGAAGTTTTGGGAGGAGGGGTGCCCAGAATCAGGAGAACACGTGCCATTGGGGACTGTCCCATTTGGGATCTTGCTTTGCTTGCCATCTTCCAGCTGAGAATCCACTTCAGTCTGTTCCACCTCATCCACGGATTCAAACACCTGCAAAGTGGGAAGACATCCCAGGCATCCAGTGAGTGTTGGGAACACAGGCACTACGTCCCCAAGAGCTGTGTACTCGTAGTGCCCATGTTCCCAGCAGTGCACAGAGGAAAATCCCCCTTTAGATTCTTCTCCCTGGATTTGAGTCAGTGCTTGGTCGTTTGCACAGCTCCACAAATCCCTGCTCCAAAGGACTTTGCTTGTCATTATATTATTATAATATTATATTATATATTATATTATTATTATATTATACTGGGCAGAAATTTCAACAGGTGTTAAACACCTGGGCATGAACAGAGGGAGCAGCCATGGGCCTTCAGGTGTGAGGCCACAGGGCAGAGCTGGCAGGTGAACACTGAACACCATGAGCAGAGCACTGTTCTGACATCAGCAGCTCCAAAGCAGGCTGGGGACTCATTCACCTCTCCCAACCCTGGTTCTGTTTGCCAGAAATCATTGTGGCTGTGGTGAGGGGTCAGCCCAAGCCAAGGGCACAAGGAATGGAGGGACAAAGGGCTCACCTGCGTGCTGGAGCTGGAATCACTCTGCAGCCGGGCGTGATTCTGCCGGCCGGAGCTGCAGCTCTGCGAGGACTGCAGAGGACAGGGAAAAGAGAAAGAAAAGAAAATATAAAGGGTCAGGGTGAGGGAACTCAAGCAGAGGTGGTGCTTCTGCAGGTGAAAAAGCAGCAGAAAATACATCCAGTAAATATCTGACCCTTGGGGAATGTTCCTGTCACATCAATGCTGCTGCAGCACCCAGCCCTGCCTCAGCCCCAACACTGCTGGGAAGGTGACAGAGCCAAAGCCCCAGGTCACTGCACTTGTTCAAGTGCTGTGTGCTGGGTCTGAAGGAGCTGCTTTCCTCTGGCCTGCACGGAGATCACGTTGCCTCCCTGGAGTGCAAATTTCTACAAATCTCTGTCCTAATTTGGCAGCAATGCAGCTCAGCCCAGCTCAGTTTACATAAACGATGAAGTCAGGCTATAAAACAGTCCCTCTAAGCATATTCATGCTTTTTTCCTTTTCTTCAAGGACAAATATTGATGTTTTAAGCCAGACTCAGTGGAAGCAGCTCCTCTCAAAGTCACGAGCACCCTGTTCTGGCTTCCAGCTGAAGCACAGAGGGAAGGGCTGGGCTCTGCAGGCACCAGCTCCTTGCTCAGCTCCGTGGGGTCCCTCTGAGCAGCCAGTCCTCAGTGAGAGCAAGTCCTCCCCATTAGCTGAGCAGAGGTGCAGAGCATGGCCATGACACCACACACAAACAATAGGATTATAAGAAAATACAGCACATTCAGAACAGCAGCTGTCCCCACCCTTGTATTGTGGGTGTTTGCTGGGCAGGACTCTGGTGGGGAGAGGAAGGGCGACAGTTTTCCTCCATTTCCATGGGAGCACTTAAAACAGGAAATTTCAGGTCGAGATGGGAAAGGGGGGAAACTTTGCATGTGTTCACTATGCCAGCTCCCTTCCCAGTGCCTGTTCCCAGAACACATGGATACAAAGGAAGAGCCACAATGGAGGTGCTGAGGGGTTGGGAATGATTCCCAGGGCTTCAGCCTACAGAGCAGCGCCTCTGCTCACCCTGAGAGCTGCATCATCCTGTCCCTGGCTCAGACCTGCTTTCCCTGCATCTCTCCCTCTCTGGGCACACAAGTAGCCTGCAGCATTGGGGCTGAGCTCATCTCTTTCCCAAAGTACCCACACAAACTTCCCAGAGGGAAGCAGATCAAGTCTCCAGCGCTCACCTCCCCTCACCTCTGGGCCAGCAGCCTGAGGTCAGGGAATGCTCTGCCATGCTGGGCTCTTCTCCTCCAAGGACAAAACACTCATGGAAACACTCCCTGGACTCCGTTCCCAGGACTGCCTTTACTTTCACAGGCTTTTCCCTCCACACAGGTTTGGGCTGTGGATCTCATTCCTCACTGCATTGCTAAAAGCCAGTCCCAAGGGGCTGGGTGTCCCCACGGATGACACTGAGGGCGTGCTGAGGCTTCTTCCATGCAGGAGCCGGGAAGCCCAGTGCCCTGCTTCACAGCCCCTTAGTGCCAGGAACATGCTCTTCCTCCTCACCCCTTCCTCAAACCCTCTTCCACTAACCTGGAGCTAACCCTGATGTGCCCCAGGAGTGCATCAGGTAATGAGGATCTCACTCCCACAGAATACAGTGAGGAACAAGACACACAGGTGGGGACGGGGGTCAGGGGAGGAGGGTGGGCAGGACCCCACACGGACTCTGGGTGGGCACTGCCCAAGCCCCCCACGCCCTCACCTCATTGCTGATGGTCGAGTCCCTGTGCATCATCCTCTGGATGTGGGAGTCCAGGCTGGCCCCCGAGGAGCACTTGGCCAGGGCTGCGGCGTGGGACTCCTTCTCACGCTGCCGGACGATGGCCTCGCAGCCCAGCCACTCTGCCATCGTGTGCTCGTAGCACGCCCGGGTCTGCTCATCAGCCTGGGACATGGGGGGACAGGGGCTGGGAATGGCTGTCCCTGGAGAGCCCCAAACCAGCCCCTCCTGTGCCCCACACAGCGGGGTGCACCCTTGTGTGAACTGCAGCTCGTGGGACGCAGCCACCCTTACCCTGCACAGCGCCTGATCCGCAAAACGTGGCCGAAATTTGGATGGAAAAATGCCCATCCATCTCCTCCCCGCCCTCCCAAGGTGCACAAGGCACTGAATATGAGGAGCTGCACAGGCCAGTGACAAGCTTGGCCCTATCAATTTCTGATCCAAGTGTTTGTCCCACTCCTGCCCCCAGCCCAGTCCAGAGTGGACACGAGGCCCAGTGGGCTCACAGCTAACAGACCCTTCCACTGGGCAGGACCGGGGCACACAAAGCTGGCAGCACACCCTCACCAACCTCCTTCCTCTCTGCCTCCGTCATCCCAAACTGGTAATGGCCCAGCAGGAAGGGCCACACCGCCTTCCTGATCTCGTGCTGGATCCCGCCGTAGTAGATCAGCCGCAGCAGCTCCTGGTCCTCGTAACTCTGTGGGAAGAGCCTGGGTCAGGGACAGACACAGCCAGCACATGGGGTGTATGGCTGTCCCCCACTTCAGCACCCAGAGCTCTCCCAGACCCCAACCAACCCCAGCCTCACTGCCTGTGATCCCTCAGAACACTGCATGGGTTTAAGTAGAGCCACAGGCTGCTGTGGGTGGATATTTTGACTCTCCACATCAAAGAGCGGCCCACCAAAGTCACCGAGGGCCACTGCTGTGCCTCTGACCTGGCAGGACCCCAGTCAGGACAGCAGTGACAGACACTGCTGCAGGCAGGCTCTGAGCAGAAGCACTTTAAGAAGAGCAGCATTCACTCCTCAGCCCTCACGTACTGAGGAGGAGGATTAGGATTAGCCTCGGGCTCTGTGCAGCCTGGGTGACTTCCCCCCTTGAGGAACTTCTTGATGTGTTTCACCACCTCCCCATGCTGCACCCACTTCAGTGACACTGCCCTGGGTGTGGCCCTACCGAGCTGTCCTGCAGGTATCTGTGCCAGATGTCCACGGTGAGCCCGGCGCTGGCGCTGCAGGGCACGTCGGGGGACACGATGTTGTGGTTCACCAGCGCTGACAGGTGGGTTCTCACCGTGGACAGGTGTCTGCAGTAGGCCAACCCTGCAGCAGGAACACCACACCTTCAGCTGTGGAACTCCAGGAAACACGAGGATTGCCACAAAAGAGTGTTTTTATTTTTACACCAAGAGTTATTTGGTTTTATACCTCTTTACTTCAGTGCAGACTTTCTTAGCCTAACATTTTTTGCTATACCTTAAACTTCTTATTACCTTTTTAACTACTTCTATATCTCAGCTTTAAAACCTTAAAACTTTCTACTGCTTAGCTTAATGTCTTTCTATTTAAACTACACACTTACACAAAGTTTCTAAATCCTGGATTTAAAGGCAGAAGCCTTTTCCAAGGCCTCAGGTTGAACCCTGTGTTCATTTCTATGTTTAAGCTTGCATGCACAAGATTTTGAGAACTTTCTGTGCTTGGAATTCCTACAGAGGATGAAGAGCAGAAGAAAGGGCCCTGGGGGAGACCCTCTGCAGCCACACTCTGCCCTTGGAGCAGGGAATCCACCAGGACAGGTCCCTCATCTTGGTACCCCCAGTGCTGCTGCTGGGGCTCGAGGCTGAGAGTCACACTCCAGCTCTTTGCTCCCCACCCTCAGCACGTGCAGCAGGCTGGTCCCAGCTCCCCCAGCCACTGCCAGCTGACCCCAGCACCACTCCCAGCCCAGAGCCCAGGACCTCATCCCTCATCCAGTCTCATCCCAAGGCAGCAGGGGGGTGACAAGTACTCACAGCCATAGAAGGCCCGGGACAGGATCTGGTACTTCATGTTGTCACACAGTAGCTTCAGTGGAGCTCTGCCAACAGAAACACACAGGATGTGAGGGGAGAAAATGCCCCTGTGCGTGCCCTCAGCCTGGCTGTGATCCCACTGATCCTGCAGAGATCCACCAGGGATGCTGCCCGGGTTCAGAGCAGCCATTCCTGCTGCCAGGCTCTGGAGCAGCTGAGATGTCCCAGATGCAGGGACAAGCCTCACCTCAGCCCCATCCCACCGACCCTGCCGTGGTTCCTGGGCACTGAGCCCTGGCTCTGCTGTGCCCGTGGCTCCTCGTACCTCTCGTGGCTGCAGCCATTGGCGGGGCCCCCGTCGGAGGAGCCGCTCTGGGAGCAGGAGGAGCAGGAGGATTTGCGGGTGCTGGGCTGCCACATGGGGGGCAGGACAGCCCCTGGAGCGTCCATCAGGTCCTGGGGCACTGCAGGAGGGCAGAGAGGAGCATCAGCTACAGCCTGGCACTGCCCTGGAGTCAGGGAGATACAGGGGCCCAACAGAGAGAGAGCTTTCATCCCGCTCTTGCCAAGGAGGCTCCAGCTACCAAGCAGGGCCCACCACAGGGAATCACAGCACTGGTGAGCTCAGGAGAAAGGAAAGGGAACAAAGAGCACTGATGGGAGAGAACCATCACTAATTAACCAGCTAATGCAGAAAGCTGATCTTAAACTGCTTCGTGCTGACCAAGGCAGAAACCCAACACCCCAGGCAGAGGCTCCAGAGAAGGGGCTGCAGAGAGAAAACAGGATTGAAATCAGCTGCTGTCCCAGGCAGAGGGTATTACTGGAAGGGAAAAAGGCCCATCCCTCAAAGGACCTCATCCAAAGATCAGGGAAAGAAGGGAGCATCCAAATCACAAGATAGGAGATGAAGACTTGGATGAAGAGGTTGAGAGGGACAGCAGGAGCTCTTTATGTTGTCACTTGTTAATCCCTGCTTAAACTCAAAGTGCTGCTGCAAAGGCCTTGGGTCCTGCTCCACACATGGCCCAGACCATGAGGAATAATGCTTTTTACTCCTCCTTGGAAATTAAATTGTGGTAGAAATTTCATCTTCTGGCTGGGCAAAAGTGTCCTTGCTCTCCCTTGGTCTCACTGGCTCTCCCAGCTTGTAATAAGGAATAGATTACATTGGCAGGAAAAATATTGAATTATTCCCACAAAAGTCCCTTCCCCTCGCATTGAGCTGATGGGGTGGTGACAGGGACAGCTCTGCAGGACCTCTCAAGTGACAACACAGGCGAGCTGAGCACCAGACCCAACCAACAGCTCATTACACTGAGGCCTAGAGGTGCCCAGCGCAGCACGGAGAGCTCGGGATGTGCCAGGGAGACTCAGACACCATTTAGGGATCACCACCATCTTGCTTCCAGCTGGAATCTTCATGATCTTCCCTCTCCCAGCAGTCACAGGCGCAAGGAATGGGTGAAAAGCACCATTAATGGCAACTAGAGACACAGAGAGAGGACAAAGGCACCAATGAAAGGGGAGAAAGGAAGAATCTGTGGAGAAGAGAGAATGATGCAGTTCCACCTCTGGCTGGGGAGGTGCACAGGAACAGAACAGGCTGTGATGACGCCAGCTGAGTAGATGGCAGCAATTCATTTCCCAGAAAATGTGGCCCCCAGCATGGAATTTTAAGGGGTAGATCAAAAGGCAGCCACAGAAAGGCACATCTCTATCTGCTGTTTTAGCTTCAATCAGGTTTTTATCTGACTCACTGAATCGTGTTAGTCAGCTGAAGGCAGGGAGAACCAAGTATAATCTCAACTGACGTTATGGAGGAGTCACAGCGGATGTAATTTCTCCCTCATAGCCTCCAAAATGCAGGAAAAAGGTTTCCATCAGATTTCAGAGCATTTTTAAAAAGCACTCCACAAGTCTTCCATCTAAAGCTCACGCTTTCCCCCTCATAAAGTCACCTATGATGTCCCCAGAGGTCAGAAAACAGTTCTTGGCATTTCACAGAAGAGTGAGGACAAATGTCCAGACATTTCAGCCAGGTTCAGATCATTCTCCACCAGACATGAAGAGGCATTTCTGGTTTGGAGAATCCAGCAGCATCCCCTCCCTCGAGTTAGGGACTGAAGACAGGTGGGTGCAGCCCGGCAGCACCCAGAGCAGGGTGCTGTGACCTCCCCTTTGAGCTGCAGGAGCCACACTGAAGGAACATCACTGGATTTAGTGCAGCCTGGGGGCAGCAAGAGAAGAATCAGCCCTGGGGGCATCTGATGGCAGAAGGTGGCCCCCAAGTGACCAAAGTGGACCTTTTTACTGAAATTATGTGTAAGAGGGGCTTTTTCTGACCATTAATGCTGTTGTGCAGCTGCAGATACAAAGGACTCAGTAGCAAGTGGAGGGAAAAAAAAAACAAACGTAGAATCATGGAATGATTTGGGTTGGAAGGGAATTTAGAGATCATTTAGTCCCAGCCCCTGCCATGGGCAGGGACAACTTTCACTATCCCAGGTTGCTCCAAGCCCCATCCAGCCTGGCCTTGGACCCTTCCAGGGATGGGGCAGCCACAGCTTCTCTGTGCCAGGGCTTCCCAATCCTTAAATGATGCCATTTAAGATCAGGAAGCACTGGCACAACCAGAGCCCTTACCCTGGAACCACCTCCTGGTTTGCCCCATGCCCATCAGCGCCTACAAACCCCCCCAAAGCCTGCCCTGCACTCACCAAACTCCGCCTGTGTCCCAGGGTAGATGATCCTGAAGACATAATCTGTGGCTTCGTCATCTTCCTTGTCGGACGCGGACTCGGAGGAGCCCTGGGGGCTGCGCTTCCTCAGTTTGGGAAACACCTTTCCCTGGGGGAGCAGAACGTGCCCTTCAGAGCCACCCAGGCCCCACCACTCCCTTCCTGAGCTCCTGCCCCACATGCTTTGCCATGTCTGCACATTCCCTGGGCCGGAGCAGCCCCTGGATCAAGTTTCCAGTGGCAGGTGAATCCATAACCCTGCTGGGCACGGGGTAAGCACAGCCCAGAGAACCAAACCCCACGGGCAGCCCTCCCACACCACCCCCCCAGCTTTCCAAAAGGGTCTGTCCAGCTGGGCAAGGCCATGAGCTAAACCCAACCACCACATTTTAAGCCCCACCTTCCTTATTAATTTTGGGAGGGGATCATTTAAAACACAGCAGCCGCTAATGCCGGGCAGAGGGTCCACATGGGAACCCCAGCAGGAACAGGCACCCACCTTTCCCCGCTGTGACCAGAGGGGTGGATCCAGCTGCCCGTGGGGCAGGAGGCCGTTCTCCAGGCAGGACAGGAACTGCAGCAAGTGTCCTCCACGGGGGAAGCGCAGAGGTGGCCTCTGGATGCCATCCTGGCTCACCAGGACAACCGTGCCACCACTGTCTACTGTTGGCAACAGCGAGAGCAGGCACAGCCATCAGTGAGGGAAACAGCACAGGCCGAAAGGCAGAGGGCAGGAAAGCTCAGGGAATGGAAAATAAGGACTTTCTTCCGTGTTTGGATTCTCCTCTAAGTCCATGGTAAGACAGGCCCTGGGAAAGGCTTGCTGGGATCATCCCCTTGGAAATCAGAGCTCTGCAAGGAGCACTCCCAGCCAAGCACCACAGCTGGGGAAAAGACTTGCCTAGAAGCACTTAAATCATGGTGAGCACCCAGAGCTCTGGGCATCTGCCCTGGAGCCAAAGCAGAACCATCCCAGAGGGAAGGGATCAAGCCCAGGGTGACACAGCCCCCAGCTGTGGCCTTACCTTGCTGGTGGCAGTGAAGATACACGATCTCCTCCAGGCGAATGGTCATGGCATAGTCCCAGTACACACTGGAACAGAGGGACAGGGAAGCTGTGAGCCTCGAGGGTGTGAGAGGCTCTGCTGCTGCTCACAGCAGCTCCAAATCCTGCTCCAGATCCCCTGGCACCAGGCAAAGCCACGGAAAGGATGAAATCCCAGAGCAGTGATGCCAGCCTGATGAGTGATAACATCCCTCCAGAGCCAGGAGCTGTCCCTGCCACCTCAGCTCAGCCAGGGCCAGTCCTGTCCCACCTGCCCTGGGTGGTTTCTCTGCCCTCACACTGTTCCCAGACACGGGAAATGGATCCTGGCTACTGCAGGGAGGGACTGGAGCCCTGCAGAGCTGAGCATTCTCCTCTGAGCACCCCAAGAATCCCTCAGGAGCAGCCCTGGAGCCCCAAGGAAATGTTCAGTCAGGTCCAAACCTGGGCTGCTGCTTCTCCCCGGGGCGGGGAAATAAACCCTCACAACTTGTGGGGTTTTTTCAGAGCTTACAACAGATTTGGTCTCAGCTGCTTCTGTTCAAGAACTGTCTCAGCCCAGGCACCTCGAGGTGTCTGAGCAAAATCTACAATATGCTGGAGAGCTGGTGGCCACCAGACAGAGCAGAGAGGCAGGGTTTCATTCCTTTGGAGAGCCCAGCACTGCTGTCCGAGGGTGTCAGCACTCAATCACATCCCACCTCTTTGCAACAAAGCAAATTTCCAGATTCTCAGCAGCAGCAGCAGCATCTGCCACTTCATAAAAATAGTGCTTAAATAACATTAAAAACAGCTTGTGAAGGACAGGAAGGTGTGCAAGAGTCACTCCTTGTACAGTCATACTTACTGTGCCATCTGCCTCCTCTCTTCCTTGGTCACGTCTTGACACTGGGAATTTTTAGAGCTTAGGCTGATGCCCAAGGCAAGAACTCAGAAAAGGGGTGTAGAGATGAAAACAGATTTTAGGGGAGAGTACCAGGCACAACTGAATGGCCCAGGGGCCAAGAAGAAAGGGGAGATGAAAAGAACACCGGTAAACAAAACCCAAAAAACTACAACTGACAATGAACGAAACTGAGACCAAGTTTTGCTGAAGAAGATCTCTACTCTAGGTCGGAGAATCAGTGTCCTAAACACTCCCACTTTCCTGGAGCCAGGAGAAACCCAGGAGCACGGTGTGCTGGGAGGGAGGGGAGGGCATTCTCCTCAGAAAATCCCCCAGGGCAACAAATGAAACCACTTTGTGTGTTTTGGAACAAGCCCCACTCCCTCCCTGAGCACTTCCCAGCAGAGACACATCTCACACCACCTCCTGCCACCCTTCCCATTCCAGGCTCAAGGATGATGGTTTTGCTCTGGGAAAACGGTGATGGCTTTGCATCCCAGATCCAAACTGTGAGCCAGGGGAACATCTCCTCCCTTGCTCTGGTACACTTGGAGCCAGTCACCTCTTCTCGTAGTCCAGGTCCCCCACGGAGCCGTTCATCAGCTGGTTGGGGGTCCACTTCAGTGCCATGATGTCGGCAGTCTGGTGGAGGGACAGATATCCAGGGATTGCCTCCATGTCATCTCGCTGGGGAAGGGAAACACAGCGACAGAGTCAGCTGGAAGATGCCACAAGAACAAAGCCCTGGAGCCCAGGGCTCACACACAGCCCTGCACGCTGCACCTGAGCCCAAGTCACAAACGGGAGAAACCCGCTGTGTCCCTGGAAAACCTCCTAGCGGAGACTCCAGGACACCTCAAGGCCTTGGAAAAGGGCTGAGAGCAGCTGCCCAGCAAGGAAAACTTAATACCTCCACCTAAAAGCAGTTTGCACTTCATTTAATTGACTACAAGAAGCAGGATGGGATGGGAGAAGGAGTTTTGTGGTAAAGAATGGGCAGGGAGAGGAGCCTGTGTTTCTACCCAGACCGGAGCAGAGCTCTTCCATCCCACTGGGAGGATCCACATCACCAAGACCTCCAGAAACACAGCACATTCACTGTCTTGCCAGATTAAAAATGTGGTTTTCTCCATCCAAGAGCCACTTGGGATAGGACAAGGTGCTGAGGAGCAGAGCAGTGTTTCAAAGCCCAGGTTTCCCAGCAGGAGCTCACCGGCTGCACCAGGACATTGTTCTTGCCGTACAGGAGTGTGGCTCGGGAATTCTGGTGCAGGGACTCCACGTAGTCCCTGGCAGACAGGGATGGCCTGTCATCCATGCTGCCACTGGAATGTCTTTTCTGAATCTGCAAGAGACACGCCCACAAAAGTGAGGTGAGCACAGACACCCTCTGGCTTCACAAAAGCTCCTCTTGAACCACCTTCCCTCCTCACTTACACACTTATGAGAGTCACTACTAGAAATCTTTCCCTCAGGGTCCTCTAAGGGGGTTCCTGACCCTGTCCAAGCTCAGAGAAGCCCCAGGAGTGAGCTCTGTTTGCAATACACAGAGCAGATTCAGCTTTCCGTTTGTACATGATGGTCCCCAGGGACACAGACCCTGGGATGCAGTGCCAGGAAAGCCAGTGCTCTCCATGGGCCACCTTCCCAGCACCTCTGCCTCAAAGACTTCCCTCCTCAGAGGGCTCCACAAGCAAAGGGAGCCCAGATCCTGTGGATCTGGGAGGAGCAGAGAGAGGTTTATCCCCCACTCACGCAGAGCGCCGGGCGCTTGGTGGGCGAGTCCTGGCGGCAGTGGGAGCTGTGGATCCGGTGCCTCTGCACCAGCTCGTCCGCAGAGGGGTCTGTCCAGAAGTGGTCAGCAGTCTTCATCTTCGTGTATTCCAGTGCACAGGGCCCCACTGTGGAGAGGAACATCCCAAACATAAGGGAGCCATCCCTGAGCCCACGGCTGCCGTCACCTCCTGGATCTGCAGATCACAGATTTGGGAGCATGGGTTTGGAACGCAGGAAGGGAAAGCAAGTAAAGAAAGTGTTACCCAGTAAAGATGCAAGAATTGGCCCATCCACAGGATCCATTAGGAGAGCTTCCTTCTCATAGTACTTACTAGAAGAAATAAAGGACAGCAAAATACTGGAGTACTGAAAAGTTATAGACAGTTGTTTAAATTCTTGTCATGCCCTTCTCTTTCTGTATCTCCCCTTGATGGGGAGAGGGCAAGAAGCCCTAAACAGGCTGTTTCTGCCAGCTGAGAAATTCCTGGGGAACAGCAACCCTCCTGCAGCACATTGCAAGCATCACCATCTCCTAACTAACCTGTCCCAGGACAGGACACCTCAGCATGTGGATCCCAGAGGACAAGGACAATGCAGCCCTGCCAACCCAGCCATCACCAGGGCCAGTGGGGCCTGCCTGTATTTTAGGGAGTGCACAGTGGTCACCAGCAGCAGGGCATCCATCTGAGTCCCCACGATGGGCACTGAGTGACACCTGGCCTGTGCCATCCAGGGACTTCCCTGGCCCACGTGGATCCTGGTGTTGCTCAGGCAGCAGCACCCCCAGCGCCATGGACAGGGACACGGGGGGCCTGTGCCAGCACTCACCTGCTGTTCTCCACCAGGTAGTGCACGATTTTATCCAGGACCTTTTCAAAGAGGGCTGTGCGGATCCAGAGGTGTTTGATGGCCTGAGGAGACAGGTTGGGCAGCTTCGGCACCTTGCGCACGTTCTCCGGGACCCCCTGGGCTTGGTTCCGCCTTTAGAGGTACAAGACAAGAGACAACAACACCACAGGCTCATCCCTGGACCCTGAGGGAGCCCAGGGCACTCCTGCCACCAGGAGTTTGAGGTGCTGACTGTGGTGGCTGGGGAATCCCAGGGAATTGCCTGGGACAGAGCTCTGGAGGTGTTTCCTGTCCCTATCCCATCCCCTGCTCCAGAGGGGCCACACCTGCATTTGAAACCAGACGTCACCAAATCGGTTCCCCACTGTGAAGACACCCCAGAACTCTGCTCTCCCTCAGCAGAGTCCTCCAGCCCACACATCTTTCCACGGCTGAGCTCACAGGCAGAGCAGCTCATGTTAGGGCAGCTTAAAATTCCTGCCCACAGGTAGCTGCTCCATCCATCTCCCTGCTAATTGTCCAAGGATGAGTAATCCTCTCCCAGACAGCAGCTGAATTACTGCAGGCTCAAGCCCTGCACATCCAGACAGGCCAAACGTGGTTCCAGCTGGCTTGGTGAACTGGTCCATAAACTGTGAGAGCTCAGGAGCAGTGTGCTCAGCTGTCCCTGAAGCACCAGAGCAGAGAGAGTTAGAACTTGTCCACCCCTGCTTAAACCACAACCACAACTCAGCCTCCTAGAACATCAACCAGCTGGGTCAAGGGATAAAAAAACCCAGGAGAAGACTGAAGGAGTGATTCCTCCTGTCGAGGCTCGAGTTGGACCCAAAGCACGCCTCCCACCCCAAAACCCGAGTGAGCAGAGAGGGTTGGCAGCCACGCTGGTGCCTTACGCGTTCTCAATGAGCTGCTCCAGGTCCTGCACCTTCCTGCAGAGCTCCTCTGCCAGGGGGAAGCTCTTGCCCACCTTCATGAACAGCGCTGCGATCTTGTTGCTGCGCAGGAACCCGGCCGCCCTCCGCTTCAGCCCGAACAGCACACAGCATTCCACGGCGGCTGCAGAGAGCACAGGCCTCGGGATCAGAATATTCCCAGTTGGAAGGACCCACAGGGATCATTGAGTCCAACTCTGAGTGATTGGCCCGTCAGTGGAACACACAATTATTAGCAGCAAGCAATCGTGGCTTTATTAGCTCTAGCCAGCTGTGCCAGCCTCAGGGTCACTGCAGCACCTTCCCTCAGAGTCAGGCTGAGAGAGCTGGGGCTGCTCAGGCTGGGGGTGAGAAGGTTGTGTGGAGACCTCACAGCAGCTCACAGAATCTGAGGGGATTCCAAGGAATCCAGAAAGGGACTGTTCATCAGGACCTCTCCCACTAGAGCAGGTTGCTCTAAGCTCCATCCGACCTATCCTTGAATACTTCCAGGGATGAGGCAGCCACAAGCTCCTAAAACTCCTCAGACAGTCAATTTGAAGGCTTCAGGAAATTGTAATCCCATCCCACAGGAGAATTAACAACAAGCACCACAGCTTCTCCAGGCAGGGCAATTGCTGTGCTGGGCAAACAGGCTGACACTCTCCTTGTGAGTTTCTTGTGGATTGTGGGGAAACCAACATTCCCCTGATGTTTTCCCTTCATCCCAACCTAAGGGATGGGCACAGCTGGAATAGGAGGCTGTGCTGGGATGGTGCGAGTCAGGAGAAGAAAGCTCAGGAGCAAGGACAGGCACACACTGAGGGTTTCTAAAACAGCACAGGAAATGGGGCAATTTCCACCAAAAGATCTCAGTGTCCATACAACCATTTTTCTGAAAAGCTGAAAGGAGCAAAGAACCTGGGGATAAACCACGGACAATGCCAGCAGCTCAGTCTGGCTTTGGGGACTCGTTGGCACTTGGGGACACAGGGACTCATTAAGTCCCTGTGGAGGGCTGTGCCTGACTCCATGTCCTGGACTCTGCCCAAAGGCACTCACCAAACCCCAGCGAGTGCCCAGACAGCCCCAAACACCTTCCCTGTCCTGCCACGGTGAGCGGGGATCCCGGGAACCGGCGATGACTCCACAGAAAGACGTGCACACGCACAGGCTCTGCCGGCAGCTCCTTCCCAAAGTCCCCTGGGAGGGCCCAGGATGGATGTCTAGTGCCAAACACAGACTGATTAAACACGCTGATCAAAGCACTGGAAAATAACACAGACCCACAGTCCTCGGGCCCTTGATCCAGGTCTGAAAACGAGTTCTGCTCCCTCCTCCCCAGGAAGCCAGCGCTGCTGAGCTGAGCCCACCAAATGCTGCTTCACCTCCTGTCTGGAAAGGAACACTTCCCTACAGCTGAACAACTCCACAGAGACCTGGAAAAAGGCATTCCATGCATCCCAGCAGCTCCCAGGCTGGGAGAGGCTCATTATCCTGCCCTGCTCCGTGCTGTGCCTGAGCTCGGTGCTGAGCAGCAGCATCCGAGGGCGGTGAGACACGGCCTGTGCCGGCAGAACAGCAGATTTGGGCCAGCCCAGCCCTGCTGACCCCCAGCAGCCAGGCAGAGCCACTGCATGGACATCTGGCTTTGAAACCAGGCCCTGCACAAGCCTTCCCAAAGCCCAGAGGGCTTCACCTGCCCCAGCATTATGTGCAGCAGCAAATAAATTAAAACCCAAACTGCTCTATGGCTTTGCCAGAAAAGCCAACATCTCCCTCATTTCAGCTCCACGGCTAAAATACAAATGACAAACAGCCCCACCTGCCTGGGACTGCACCCAGGGGTGCCCATTTGGAGTGCTGAAAGCTCAGGTACCCATGGGGGCTGCTCCTGCCCAGCTGCACTCCCAGTGCCACCAGTTCCATTCCAAATTCCCAGCAGACAAACGGGAGCACTGGTGCTCTCACTGTGCTCGTGTCACGGGCAGCACATCCCAGCCCCTGCCAAGCAGGGAGAAATCTCAGGTCCTGAATCTCCAGGCACAGAGCATCAAGCAGCATCTGTTCCCAATGCCAGATCCAAACCTCTGCAGAACACCGCTCCTGCTGGCAAAACTACAGGGAAACATGCAGCTTCCATAGGAAAAGCTCCCCATGCTCTACTAAATCCAGGGGTAATGGTAGGATTTTTTAATGGGATGAGTTTTGGAGCTCAGTTGTGTCACCACTGCAAAGAGATTCTCCTCATGCCTCAGGATATAACTCACAGCAGAGTCAGGATATTCAGGATATCATCTACAGCAGACGCACACGGTGCAGGGTCCCTGCTCAGCTATGCCCAGGTAAGGGGGGAGCTTTGACTCCTGGAAGAAGACTGAAGATATTCCTGAGCTGCCCAGAGCTCTGATGCCATCCAAACCTCTCGGGCTGAGCAGCCTTGGCTGACGTGGACGCCAAACCCTGCGCTCCCACAGCCCCGCCGCCGGCTCCCCATCAGCCTCCCAGGGCAGCCTGGACGTGACAGATGCCAGCTCGTGTTTGTCTGCTCCAAACCTCCCCTCCCAGCAGCACGGGGGGGCCGGGGGCTGCTGCCCTTCCCTGCCGGAGCTGCTCCATCCGGAGGGGTTTGCGCTAGGCCGGCTGCGCGCAGGGCTCCGTCAGGAGGGCTCTGCTGGGAAGGCAGCTCTCTCCAGGGAAAAGGGCAGCTCTGGCAGCCCGAGCCAGCCTTGCAGCACGCTCTGCTTGGCAGGGGAAGAGGTTATTTATAAGCTCACCCAGCTCCTGGAGAGCCACAACAGCGGGGAAGGTGCAGGAACCATTCCAGGTTCCTTGCTGAAGAGCGGACGGAGCAGGAGGGGGACACCAGGAACCAGGGAGAGAGCAGCAGCACCTTAAGAGGCCAGAAGGAAGCAAGGAGCCCTTCGTGCCTGCATGCCTCAGCTCCCTGTCGCAGGAGCCTATAAATAATCCCAGGCTGAGAAGCCTCGTGCTGCACAGAAAAGCAGGAATGAGTCACACCTGGAAGTCTGCTCTGCTCTTTCGATGCCACACAGGGGCCACGGGCTGGGAACAGGCTCCTGAGCATCTTTGATGTGAGGGCCCAGCAGGAAAGGAGAAAGCCCGGCCTCCTTTCCATAAACTCCTATTCCGTAACAGCAAAGAAAAGATCTGGACTCGACAGGCTTTCAGTTGAATCAATTCTCAAGGGAATTTAAAAATTAAATATTATTTCTAGTCCTTCCTCAATGGCTGCACACACTGCCAGCATCCCTCCCCCTTTTGACACATCCCTGTATATTTTTAAGCACAAAGACCTCAGGGATTCCAACCTCTGCCAGAACAATCCATCCTCTGGCACTCCCCACTTCCCTGGCCCAAGGTCCTGGAGCTGGAGCGTGTTCCCAGGAATGGCACAGCACCAAAAGCCCCAGTCCCCAGCATGGGAGACTCACCACAAAAGGAGATGATGTGGCTGCTGTCCTCATGCACAAACTTCCTGGTCACAGCCTCCTCCATGATCTGCTTCACCTGCAGGACAGAGGCAGTTAGGGAAAACATGGAATTTCAGCCATGGACCAGAGCAAGGAGACCTGCAGTGGGGTGGGTGCACAGGAACCTCCTCTGCTCCCAGGTTTTCCCCATGGCCCAGGAGATCTCACAGAGGATTGATGTGGCTCTGCCTGCTGAGCATCACCAGCTATTTCAAAAAGTCAGGTATAAAAACAGGGCTGTTTCATTTTTGAGAAGCTTCACAGTAGGAAAACCATGAGCTGAGAATTAACTGAGGGAACTGAGCATCGCTCAGTCACCTAATAAAGGTATTATTATTACAGATCTCATATTCAATGTTTTTACAGCATTGTTCTCTTCTCTCATTTTGTTTGACAAATTTCCTGTGGCACAGCTGTCCCAAATGACTGCAACTATCTATCAATGCCTAATTCAGTGACCACCTGGCACCAGCTGTGCCCAGGAATTCCATTTGCACAGCAGTGCCAGCAGCTCTGCCCTCTCTGACTCACAACTGGCACTCAGCTGATCCAGAGGAAGCTGTCACTTAGTGCTCATCAGGGGCACGATTAGGGGACAAAAACAAATAGGACCCCACAGAAATGAGGAGGGTATTTTTTGCAGGGGGCAGACAGGAGGTCAGACCCACCAGGTCAGGTCTGGCAGCAGTGTGGTGACTTCCATCCCCAGCTGTCACTCTCCCTAATCCTGCTGCAACCAGCCAAAGCCCAGCTGAATCTTTGCTCCTTAAAACATTCAGCTCCCAAACACTTTTCCTTTCAAACACAGCTGCCAGCATGCTTGGATCTCATCTTCCAGTGCCTCTGTAACATCTTGGCTTTGGAAAACACAGGGGAAAGTGTTCCCAGCACAGAACTGAGGGTGTGAAGGAAGCTCTGCTTAGCAAGGTGTCCTCCCTGAGGGCACAGGGAGGGAAATACAGCAGGTCAAGACTTGGCCAAGCAAGCCTTGCATGAATGAGAGACTTTTAATGGCATCATTTGGGGAATTAAACTCCTTTGCAAGGTACAATCAAGGTCAGTTATGCACGGCTGACAGCCCCACAAAGGAAATCCTGAGTATGGATTAAGAGCAGAGCGCTGTCTGAGCCAAGAGCTGCTCTGTGCCAGAGCCACCAGGTGAGATCCCAGCGCTGCTCGGTGACTAACAGAGCCCTGAGGCTTCCCTGGGTGCCAGCAGCTGGTAGTGACTCAGGAAGTGACAGCAAGGAATGTCACTGAGATGTGGAGCTCGGGGCTGGAGGTGGCTCAGAGCACTGGGAAGTTCCTCTTGGCACAGCATGGTCCAGCTCCTGCACCTCCACATCCCCCACATCCTGCGCTCAGAGCGGTGACTCCACCTGCAGGAACAGCCCAGGGACCAGGAGAAAGCTCCAGATTCCGCCTCAGTGCTTTATTGTGTCTTAAAACTGCCCCTGGTCAGGGCATCTGCTGGTGCTCCTTCATTCCTTACCTCCCACCTGCAGTTTTCCCCTTGTCCCAGTGCCCCATGCAGGGAAGGGGCAGCTGCAATCCTCACTGAGGGCTCCTTGCTCCAGCACCATTCCATCTTCACTTCAGCAGCAGAAACAGGGACAGAGCAAGCCCAGCAAGAGGAGAGGAGCCTCTGTCTCTCACACATCCCTCGGTCTTGGCTGCAGGGCTGGATCAGGGATGGGAAGCAGCGCACATCTCGTGTCCACCAGCACCCAGGTGCTCCCCAGAGCTGCCCCTTTTCCTCCACCTGGAATTCCACATGTCCACCAAAGATATTCTGCCAGCCTGTCCAGCCCAGGAGCCATCCCTGGGAGCAGCCCTGCTAGGGAGGTTCACATTTTGGGGCCCTCAGGGATTCCCTGAAATTTGGCTTTCCCAGCTGGCCGAGCCACCCTTGTGCAGATGGCTCCTGAGCCTCACCCAGGCAGGCAGAGCTTCTTTTGTCAGCAGGACGCAGCACTTCTCTCTCACACCTCCAACTGATCTCCCAGAAAATAACTGCACATAGATATTAAATGTACACTCATGGCAGCACCGGTGGGATCAAGATTTTAACCCAAACCCCCACAAAAATACACCTGAAAATCAATGTGCTTTACCAGCTTCTGATTCAATCAGGAAATATTCCAATGTAAGCAGTTTATTCAAGTATTTGTTTGAAATTCCAGTGTATTGACACTGCCTGCAGTGACCATCTGCCTGTCCAGGGCCTGGGGACCATCCAGGACAGCAGGACCCGGCTCTGACCGGGCATTTCAGTGCCAACACTGCACAAACCACCTGCACGCTCCAGGCACACACAAAACACCTTCCAAGAGACACAGTTTAGTGGAAAATTACTCATTAAAAGTAAAAAAAAAACCCAACAAACAAACAAACAAACAAAAAAATTGCACTGTGTTGACTGAGGTTGTAACACTAAAAATAAATCAAGGAAGTCTGAAGGGCTGGAAGTGGGAAGGGCACTGAAACAAACACCAGCCCCAGCAGGGAGAGGCCAGACAGACAGACATGGCCTCCTAACACAAAACAAGGGATATCTTGGAATCCTGGAATGTTTTGGATGGGAAAGGGCCTTAAAGCTCATCCAGTTCCACCCCCTGCCATGGGCAGGGACACCTTCCACTATCCCAGGTTGCTCCAAGCCCTGTCCAACCTGGCCTGGGACACTTCCAGGGAACAGAACTGACACTTCCAGGGAATAGAGCCAAGAGCTCCCAACTTTCTCTAAGTACCAAGAAAGTTTTCCAACAAAACCATCTTACATTTGCCCAAACAGGCACACTTGGCATCTGTAGGACAGCTCAGAGGCAGAGAACCCCAAAACTCCTGGCAGATCTGCTGTGCTGTTGTCTGGAGACCCCAAAGGACTCTCTCACTCGGAGCAGCCCCTCCCCAGCCAGCTGGGATCCACCACAGCTGGGATCCACCACGTGCTCCGGATCCGCCGGGAGTTTGTGCCGCCCAGGGATGGGAACGTGGCTCAGCCACGCTCGGCTCCCTCCACAGAGAAGACTTGAACAGCCTCTCAGTATGTGCTGCACTCCAGCATTTTCATGCTAATTCTCAGATTGTAGCCAGAACAATCCCAACAGATGAAGCTGCCCACTCTGGATCTCATGCCAGCCTAGGGAAATGAGATGTTTGCTCTTCTTTTATTAGAAAGGAAATTAAAACAGCAACTAATAATTTAGCTGTAGGTAAACTCAAGAGGAAAATCATCAAGCATTTCACAACAGCACAAACAACCCCCTTGGCTCCAGCTGTGAGCACAGGACATGTCCCCTTGGAAAGTGAAATCAAACCCTCACCTGCCCAAAAACCCCAGGCCCCAGGGAGGGATGGAGGCTTAGACCTCTCTGCTACAGAATTCCCAGGGATATGCATCATCCAAAGTCCAGCTCTGCTGTCACCCAGCCCTGTTGTCATTTCCACTGCTGGAACAAGCCAAATTCCACCACAGCCACAGCCACCACCGAGCTGCAGGGACCAGCAGCAAGCCAAGAACTCCAGGTTTAATTAGCCCAAGGAAATATTGACTCACAACTGTTCTACCTGGCCAGATTTTTCCCTATAGAACCTGTACTCTGGGTCATTCAGGGATGTTTCCAGCCTATTTCCCTGCCTCTTGCAAAGCCTTTCGCTGGTTATTGAGGCATTTCTGTGGAAGCACAGGGCCTCCTGTCTATCTGGCCATGCTCATAACTCTGTGAAATTGTTTACAGCAAGCCAGATGCAAAACAGGGTCCCCAGGGAGATCCTTTTCCCAGTCCTGTTCCAGGGTCAAGCTCACTTATGTTGCCACAGGATGAGGGCAGCTGTGGGGATGCTCCTGGTCACCAGATGCAGGAATGGGCCTGGTTGCCATATCCAGCACCAAAAAATGCCTGGATGAGGAAAAGAATGTGGCACAGCATCCACACACTGGAGCCAAAGCAGTGGGAGAACATCCCATCCCAAACCAAATGGATTTACAACAGAAAACAGAGATGGAGATGATGATGGAGATGATGGAGATGATGATGATGGAGATGTCTCCTGCTCCCTCTGAACATCCACCTCTACACGAGGTGTCAGATCAGGTGGATGAGATGCTGCAAGACCAGAGCCAGGAAGCTGCACTGCCTGCACCCCCTCAGAGTCACAGAATTCATCACAGAATCATGGAATTGTTTAGGTTGGAACAGACCTCCAAGATCACTGAGCCCAACCATTTACCCAGCACTTCCAGGTTCACTGTTCCTGTTCAATCCACCTGGCCCAGAAGAACCATCAAGCCCCCAAAAGATATCAAGCAAACAACAAAATAATTTTAAAAGAACCAAAACCACCCCATCCATTGATGAAAGAGACTTTAAACTTGATTTGCTTTTTTAAATTTGCTTTTCCAATTCTTTTCCAAGCTGGAGCTTTGTCCTTCTCATCAGCGTTCTCATCACTGCTTTGATTATGTGTTTGAAGTTAATTCTTGCACTTAAAAAAATCCCATTTTCTGTGTCAGTTTTGGTGCAATGATTGCATGTGGGCATTCCTTGCTGCAGTCTGAGCTCTCCTGCAATTGCTTCTCCCAACCAAGGCCTCTTTCCAGGAAAAAGCTGCCCATGGAACACTGCAGCACTGTCACTTCTCAGGTGTTACAAAACGCTGAAGGATCACTGAGATGCAACATTAGGATACCCCTAGGTGTATTTGCAAGGACAGCCTCCCCTGCACTGCAGGGGAATATTTCCCAGCAGGAATGTCAGCCTGGTTTTGCTGGATGCACCAAAGGTGTCCGAGGCACAGCAAGTGCAGAATCTCTGCTCAGCTCCAGGACACAAAGATTATTCCAAACCCCCAAGTCCTCCTGGTGCCCACAGGAGGCTCTGTGTGCAGGGAATGCTGATGGAAATCCTGGGATATTTCATCATGTTGGAGCTAAAGCAGAACTTCTCAGACTGAAACCTCTCAACCAGATTTATCTCCTCATGTGAAAATGAAATGTCTGCCTGTTGCCTGCCTTGTTGCTACAACACCCTTTTTTAGCAGCCTTGTTGATAAAATTCGCATTTTCCAGCAGGATTTCCTGTTTCTCCTGCGTTACCACGTTCCTCATCTCTCCAACAACAAACACCCTGATTATCCCACAAGCAGGTGCCAGACAGACTGCTCAGCACCACCACGAGCTGCAGCCACGCTCTGACACTTCTCCAAGAGTTCACTGGCTGACCACAGAAAAAAAATATCCCAATTAATTGTGCTTGGATCAGTTAAAACAGCCCCAGCTGCAGGGCACGGGCTCCATTTATACCCAGGGAGGTTTTGGTGGCCCCTGGCATGAGGGGACAGCACAGGGACAGCTCTGATGGCACCAGGCACTTGCCTTGAAAGCCATTTGGCAGCTCCCTACTCTTGCTGCCTCAGAAACATCGATCACCCTGCAGCCCACTGAGACCTTTGGCTTTGCTAAAAGTCATATTTAATTATTTATGACTGCTCGCTGAATAAAACATGGCACCTCCTGCAGCTGAGGGATCCTCCTGGTGACACACAGGAGGGAATTCCAGGCCAGCCCTTCCCCAGGAACCACGTCTGCTCACAGCTGGGGACTGGGATGAGGCTCCTTGGGGAATAAGGGAAGAGAAGAACTCCCAATATTTGTGCAGTTTGCTGGAAAATGAGTTTAAAATAGATTAATGGAAGGATCCATAATGCAACATTGCATTATCCTGGGGGACACAGGGGTGATCCCAGCCACGTGCACTTGCTGGTAAGTGGTTTTGCACCAGACTTTCTTCACAGAGCATCAACTTTTGGCCAAAAATCCATGCTTACAACACTCATTTAAGCTGCCTAAGATCACGTTAGAGCTGGTTCTATTCCTGTTGTGCTTGTCAAACGCACATTTCCACGCCATCTGTGGGCACTGCTGGCACTGCTCGCTGTAAATGCTCAACACAGACATTTAAGGAAACATTTAAGGCAAACTTTAGTCATTTCTGTGTTTTTCCAGCACACCCGACCCCCAAGCCAGGTTCTGTTCTCACCACATCCCAAAGCTCCTGTTTTTCCCAGGTAGTGATGGCATTCACTGCCAACATGGCAAAGGATGGTGCTGAAACCAAGGGCAACTTCCATCTCCAAATTGCCCTGAAGTCCTGAATCTGTGCAAAGCCAGGTATTTCCATGGCAACAGGAGGGAGGAGAGCAGGATATTTTGGCAGCAGAGGACAGAGGGTCCCCTGGCCCAGGGCAGGTGTGAGGAAGGGGGAAAGCAGCACAAAACCTGCTCTGGAGATGAAGGCTCAAGCCAGGGGTTTCTGGAGCACGAGAGCTCTTGTGCAAAGCCCTGCTTCTGTCTTTAAAAGGAGAGGAAATGGTCCCCAGTGATCAGTGCTGATCTTCAGAGCAGATCGATGCAGGCAATCGAGAAATGCTGCATTAAGGGCCCTCTGTTCTCTCTTGGAACAGAAACATTTGAAAAAGGCTGCCCTGGGTGCTTGAGAGACATCAGAGGGTCCCTCTGCCAACAGCAGCTTTCATCACCAACCTTCAGCTCATCATCCTCATCCTTATCTTGCCTGAACACTTTTGACAGCTACACAAAGGCCTTTTTCCTTTTTTTTCCTTTTCTAATAAGCTGGCCTTGAGAACATTTAAAGCTCTCAACATTAATTTTTCAAATCCTAGTAACATTAAATTAATTTACAATTTTCTACCCATCCAGAATGAAATAGCTGGCACTGACGCCTGCAATCTGATATTTAGGAACGGCAGGCGCACAGAAAAACAAACCCAAGCTGCAAAAGCATTGCTCTTACCAGTCATTTGTGTTATTTAGCCACAAACCAGGCAACATGACTGCAAAGCAGGGGCTTCTCTGAAAGGGTGGGAGGAAGAGACTGACTGTTGTTCCCATGACACATGATGAAGGAATTAGTCAACAGCCACACAGTGACAACCATTCCAGCTACTGAAAAAATAAACAATATATCTGGTGGAAGACAGGCAGGCTGTGGTCAACCCCGGTTTTTGAAAGAATTCCTAAGAAAAGGCAGCAAAATTTTCAATCCAGGTTCAACAATTACTGATGAATAAAGACTCAGAGCTGCTTCCCGGGTGGCAAGTTAAACATAAACTAAGTTTTTGCAGAAGAACGACCGAGATGACTGTTTGCTTTCATACAGCACTCAGCTTTTCACTCAGCTCACATTCCAGGGACACGTGTGCAGGTGGATTGCACAGGTAACACCTGCTTCCCTTCCTCCGTGCCATGCAGCTGCCTGGAGGGAGTTAAAAACAGACCTCAGGACTCCCCTCTATTCAAAACAAAACTCCTAAAAGAAGGGGAGGAGCACAGGTTGCAAGGGGAATAATTCTAATTGAGAACCCACACCCCTCCAAACCTGGGTATTTCAGGCTCTGGGTTTGTAAAAAAGCCTCGTTCCATCTGATAAAATTCTCTAAAAAATCAGAGGATGCTGGTCACGCTGCTTATCCTGCATAAGAGGGCACAGGATGCCTCACAAAGTCAGACCTCACTCCTTCCCCTGCAGCTTGCTGACAAACAGTCAATTCTGCAGCTTCCAGGGTTGGTTTGATTTGTTATGACCATATGGGGCAGAGGGGGGAGGAAGAAGATGGTGACAGATAACACAGCTCATCTCAACCTGCACATCCACTGCAGCACAGGACTTCTCCAGAATCCAGTGCCTTAACCATGGCAACAGCCAAATACTGAGGGCTGCTCAGTGCCCTGGCTAATTCCTGTTTATTGTTCCTGTCCCTGCCTGGATCAGACCTTCTTCCCAGTGTTTGCCTCATTCAGTTATGGCCCTGGGGTGACAGATGTGGCACAGCTCCCCAAGGACAGCCCTGCCTGTCCCTGCTCTCAGCTGGGCTCACCTGCACTGAGGGCAGCTCACACAGAGCCCTGGCTGGAGCAAAACCAGGTGTGGCCTTGTGAAATGAGAATGCTGCAGGTTTGAGAAAGGTTAAAATTCTGGGAGTGGGGGTAAAAGAACCCCAAATTTCTGCAACTGGCCCTTTCTGCTGATCCTTGGAGTGTGCACAAGCTCCTGACTTAACCTGAGGTCAGCCTAGAAGAGGAAGAAAAACCAAAAGCATGAGCAGGGAGCAACAGGCGGAAAAACACCCTACCTGCTGCCAGTTTCAGGGATGGTGCTATATATACCTAATAATACCTCCAGGATCATGTTTCCCCAGGTTTTTCATTCCTACCAGAGCAATGCCCAGATGGAGAGCACAGGTCCTCCATGGAATTCCCCCACCTGTGTGGCCATGCACCCACAGCCCCCATTGCTGGACCCAGCCCCTGTCCAAGCTCAGCACTTCCAGCAGGAGTGGAAGGCAGATCCCAAGGGAATGGCAACCACCCCGTACCTGCACAGGCAGGGAACCCACACCAACATCCCGAACAACGGGACCACCAAAAAAGCCTCTGCTCTGTGCCAGCACAAAGGGGCTGCTGGAGAGAGGCTGGAGTGTGTCAAACACCCAGGTCACAGCTCCACGGTGGCACTTCACAGGGCAGGAGGGCATTCCCTACGCACCCCATCCCTCCCCCAGGCTTTACTCACACTAAACCCACGTTATCTCCCCAACAGAAGGGCACGGACCAAGCCCAGCTCTGCTCTCTGAGGCACCAGCTCCACTTTCCCCCACACACAGCCCTGGGAGGGAGCGAGGCCGGGCTCTGAAGGCCAGCACAGGAGAGGCTCTGGGGGAAGCCAGGAGCAGCCCTGGCTCCCACCCTGCAGCAGCCGTCTGTGCACTCAGGAGCTGCCACAGACAGTCATAATGAGATGGCAGCTCTATCCACAACGCTAAATAAATGTCATACCCTTTTCCTGGTTTAATAGCTGTTGCTGAGGCAACCAGTAGTATTCCTTAGCACCACACCCGGCACAGGATTAAAGGTGGGAATCGGTCAGGATGGGCAGCGCTGTCACCCTCCCCAGCCCCACCACCCACGGCTCTGCTCCTCCCGGCTCCGAGCAGCATCTTCCACTCGCCGGGTTCTGTAAACCGGATAGCGAGATGTTGGTAACACCAGGAACCAAACACCACACACACCCCCCCTCATCCTGCATCCCGGGACGTGACCTGCAGGGACAGAGCATGGGCAGGACATGACAACAGCTGCGGGTGACCCAGCGCTTCGGCACCGAACTGGGCTCCGTGACTCGCGGACCTCAGGGGTAACCCACGGCACAAACACGGAGCTCCAGGCAGCTCAGCATCAAACAGCGTACGAACTAATAGAGTTAAAGATGCCTGAGAAGAGGGAGCACAGCGAGATGAGAAACGCCATCACCCTGCACTGGGCACACATATTTGGAGTCCCCCCTTTTCCCGGCCGGGGTCCCCAGCACCCGCTGCCCCCCCCGCCCTGCCGAGGAGCGCCGTGCTGCGGGAGGGCTCGTCCCATCCCCGCTCCCAAGGGAAGGATGCAGCACCGGGAGTCGGCCCTTTTTCCCTGCGGAAAATCCCAAGTTGTGGCGCGCTCTGCCCCCAGCCAGAGGCGATTTTCCAAGGATGCGGGGCGCTGGGATGCCGGGCACCGGCGCTGCACGGATGCTTCTCCGCCCCCCGGGACCCGCAACCGCGCCCGGCTGGGCTCTCGGCCGGGTGGGCTCTCGGCCCCGCTCCGGGCTGGTTTTTGGGGGGGCTCTTAAACCCGCGGTAGCAGCAGCCGGGCGGGCCCGGGGCTCCCCCCGGGCAGGAGCCGCCGCATCCGCGGGCACCGGGCCGGGGCTGCTCCGGGGGTCCCGCACCCACCTCCTTCTTGACGGTGCGCAGCAGCCGCTGCCGGGTCTCCGCCTCTGCGGGGAGAAATGAGGAGAAGAGACCCGTTAGTGCGGCCCTGCCCCGCCACCCCCGCTCCCGGTGCCGGCCCCGGTGCCGGTCCCCGCCCGCCGTACCCGCCGGGGCCGCCGCCATGGCCGCGCTCGCTCCGCAGCGCCCGCAGACTGCCGGGCACCGGGCCGGGCCCGCCGGGCCGCACCGCCCCCCGCCCCACCGGGGAGGGGCCGCCGGGCCGCCAATCCGCGACCGGCACCGGCACCCCGGCACCCCGGTATCCCCGGCACCAGAACCCCCGGTACCCCCGGCACCAGAACCCTGGTATTCCCGGCACCGGCACCCCGGTACTCCCGGCACCGGCACCCCGGTACTCCCGGCATCCGCAGCCCCGGCACCCCCGGCATGCCCCGAACCCCCGGCACCCCCGGCAACGGCGGGTCGAGGAGCGACCGGGTGCGGGCCGGTGGTCCCGCGGGTGTCTCAGCCGGGACCGGGGCCATGGTGCGATCACAGCCGTGCCCCGGCTCTCGGGTCGCCACCAGCCCCCCCCCAGCCAGGTCCCCGCACCCCCGACCCAGCCCCGAGGTGTCCGGGGACGGCGGCGGCGGGGCCGGGTGACACGGGATGGGAGAGCCCTGGGGGTGTCCCCGCACGTGGGGACCGCTGGGGCAGTGTCTGGCCTCGGACAGGGGTTCAGGGCTCTGGGGTTCCCTCGCAGGGGAGAAACAACCACGTCCTTTCAGGCGTGAGCCATCCAGTCCCGTCTCCGGTGAGCTCCAGCACAGCGGGAAGGTGACAATAACCAGAGACCCCCAATGTCTCCTCTCAAAATCACACCATGGCAGCACAGCCTCTCGGAGAGTGCCCTGCCTGCAGCTCCATTAACATCTCTTCTGTTTTCCTCTTCCCTCGTTTACTGTTCCAGGACATTTCCATAGAAACAGCATCCTGGCTCCTCCGCAGTCCAGTTTCCAATAACTACAAACCGCGTTAGTGCGAGGGCAGAGAGCCCGGCCGTGCTGCACGGCGGCCCCGCCTGGGCCCCGCTGCCATCGGGATTCAATCCTGGCACGGAGGGCAGGAGCACTGGCTCACCCCCGCCAGCCCCCCAGGCTGACCCCCGAGCTGGGCTGCATCCTCTGCCTCCGAGCTTTTCCTCCCCTGCTCCTCCCTAATGACAGCAGGGACCGTAACCCCGCTGGTTCCCTCCACCGCCCAGGCTGCCAGGAGAGCACGGGGGAGCTCTGGCCTGGGGATTAATCCCAATTCGGTCCCTTCTGTACCTTCCAGGAGGCAGCCTGGGCAGTGTTTCCACGTACTCTGTTTGCTTTGCACTGTTTATATGCCTGTGGTGGCAGCGCAAATGTAACCGAGCTGCAGCTCGGGGGAATGTGATTGCTGGACCAGACGGCTCCCAGCATCTTTGGGAGAAAATCGTCTGAAAGAAGCACAGGGACAAGGACTCCCCCCAAGCCTTGCTGCTTCCTTTTCCTTGCAAAATTCTGCTTCTCCCCGGATTAAAGACAGGTGGGAGACGGTTGGCCCCTGTTTTCTGGAGCTTGGAGAGCTTAAATGAGAGCACGTTGATCTATACTTAATTTGATTAAGTTACATGTCTGAGTATCATGCTAATTAAATTAAACTTCCCACTGCTGCCTCTGTGGCTTAAACAGGATAGTTTTTTAAGACCACAATTCACTCCCCTGCATTTCTCTGCACGGATGAGCAGGTGGGATAAAAGAATTCTGCTGATCAAGCCATCGTGGTGTTTAGAAACAACTTCTAAAGCAATGGGTATTCAAATTTAAATCTGGTTTGAGTTGGATTTAAACTATGCACTTTCAATCTGAAGCGATTTGTGCTTTGAATAAAGAGAATAACAGGGGGAAAGCAGAAGTGAGTGGATGAGGCAGTGCACAGACTGTGCCTGACCGCGATGTCTCAGGTGTTGATACAGAATATTGGGAAGGAATTGTTCCCCGTGAGGATGGCAAGGCCCTGGCACAGGGTGCCCGGAGAAGCTGTGGCCGCCCCTGGATCCCTGGAAGTGTCCCAGACCAGGCTGGATGGGGCTTGGAGAAGCCTGGGCTAGTGGAAAGTGTCCCTGCCCACGGCAGGGGCTGGAACTGCTTGGGCTTTGAGGTCCTTTCCAAGCCAAACCGTTCGGTGATCTCCCCAAGACACCTCTCCCCTGCCCTCCTCCAATCTCCAGCATTTCTTTCCACCTTGCAGCTTCTAAAAACACGTGGAGATTTCAAAGCTCTCCCCTGATGGATTTGACAGCGCGGCCCCGACCCGCTGCCGGAGGAGCCGCAGGAGCGGGGGGGAGAGGGGGCAGCGGGACGGGAGCACCGGGAGCATTCACGGCTCATTCCCCAGCGAGCTCCCGGGGGGGATCTGCCGGGGATGGAGGTACTGAAGCGACGGCTCTGCTCAGCCCTCGGCTGGAGCGGGGCATCCTCCGTGCCTGGGAACGGAGCCCGTGCCGAGCGCAGGGAGCTCCGTGCGCATCCCTGCGCTGCAAACCCCGCTCGGCTCCGGCTGGGAGCGGCTGTGGGAATAGCTCCGGCCACGGAGGTTCCTGCAGGCCCAGCTCTGCCCCTCCGGGTGTGATTTAATAGCTCGGTGTGAGGGAAAAAAGAGACTCTTCAGGAGAAAAAGGAGCTTAGCTTTAAACAGACGCCGGAGTTGGAACAGCCGCTGCTTCCCAATGGGAAAGGGGTCTCTGTCCAGTGCTGGGGGCTGTCCCTGCTTCCCGCAGACCCCTGAGACCCCTGGCAGTGCTGAGCCCTCCTGAGCAGGGGCAGGACGTGGCCACAGCGGGGTCTCCCACCCAGCCACTGCACATAAACCACCCCGAGAAAAGGAGGGTCAGCAGCAGAGGAAGAGCTATTATCTGTTATCTATTATCTATTATTATCTATTATCTATTCTTTTTCATAGTTGCTACGGCACCAGATGCCTCAGTTCTGTTATTTATGCCTCGAGATGGTTTTTGGGCAGGGGTTAAACCCCGCTCCCCCCTCACACTCCCCAGGCAGCGGGGATTTCTCCCCTTCACCCCAAAGCCTGGGACAAGGGCGGTCCCTCTGGTAGCCCCCACATCCCCGGCTTCCATCCCCACTCCCACGCCGAAGGATTGGGATCCAGGGCTCTGGAAAGTCCCAGGAGGGACACAAATCCCGTATAAAGCACAGCAGGTGAACTGTCCCTCCCTTGTGTGCTGGGGCTGGGCTCGGGGGGAGCCACACCGGGCTCAGGAGCGGGGACTGATGGAGGGGCTGTGCTGGGACCCCCCGAGCTCTGCTCGCTCCCCCCCCGGCCCAGGGACCACCCTGAGCCCACCCACCCAACCCCTTCACTCAGGGAAAATCCTCATCACTCCTCGTAACCCCACCAGCAGAAAACTGCTGTATTTCACAGGAGAGGTGTTCAAAGAACAATTATTTCGTCTTAAACCAACAATAATTTCAGGTTCCACAGCAGAGAGGGAGAAGGCCGTGGAGTGCAGCCCACCCTGTGCAGGGACTGGCAGGACTGGACCCACTCTTAGGCTTTTCCAACCTCAACAATTCCATGATTCTCTGATTCCATTCTAGGACAGCCCGAGCAGCCAGGGCCAGACACACACACACACACACATACAAAAATATAAATGTGCTTTTAACTGGAGGTTTCTAACGGGTTTTCGTGTGTGTGCCTGAGGGATTAACAGAGTCCAGAGGCTTCCCGTGCCGGGCAGCTGCGTCACGTCGTCACAGCAACCCTCTCACCATGGCCCTGGAGCCGCAGCTCCGGCTCCATCTCTCCTGTAGTTTCTTTTAATTACAGATGGGAAAGGCTGTGAAAGCCGGGGCTGGAGGCCCCCAGAGCCCCGGGAGAGCCCTGTGACCCCGGCTCTGTGCAAGCCCTGCACAGACGCATTTCAAAGCAATGAATTTTGCTGTGGAGCTGTCACAGGGCAGAGCGGTGGCTTTGGGGACGCTGCCATCCCCTCCTGGTCGCAGCTCAGCTGTGAAAGTTATTTCACTTTCAAGTGGCTTTTCCCCAGCAGCTCACACCCCAGAGAGACCCGTCGAGCCCAGATGGATGAGATGACCTTTAAAGGTCCCTTCCAACCCAAACCACTCCATGATTCCCGAATTTCCCCTGTAAGCATCCGTGTCACCTCCTTAGCAAAACACACCACGGAGAGAGAAATAGGGATTTGTCAGGAGGGAGGAGGAAACACAGTCCCATTTCACCACCTCAGCCCCAAAACTGAGCTGGAATCCCCTCCCCTGGGTGGGACACACGGGGTGATGTTTGTTCACACAAGGTCAGGCTGGTCCCTGTGGGATGATGCTGGTCCCTGGGGGATGATGCTGGTCCCTGCAGGGTGAGAATGGTCCCTGTGGGATGATGCTGGTCCCTGCAGGGTGAGGATGGTCCCTGTGGGATGATGCTGGTCCCTGCAGGGTGAGGATGGTCCCTGCAGGGTGATGATGGTCCCTGTGGGATGATGCTGGTCCCTGCAGGGTGAGGCTGGTCCCCATGCTCCGGGGCTGCTCTCCCCTGCTGCCTTTGATCAGAGCATGGCTCTGGTTTCCCTGCCGGCTGCTCTCCGTGCCGTGGGTTTCCAGCGGGAGGTGGGGAAGCGCAGTCAGCCTGACCCTCCCCTCCTCGGATCTGTCATCAGCAACAGAGAAATCCTTCCCGGCCCCAAGTTACTCAGCCTGAATCCTGCAGGATTTGCCGGGTTGGCAGGATGGCAGAGCAGCCCTGCCTGGGTCCCCCCAGCAGCCCCGCACCCCCAAACCCCCACACCCACCCCAGGGACAAGTGGAGCAAAAAGATGGATTTCCTCCTCTCCGTCATCGGATTCGCCGTCGATCTGGGCAACGTCTGGCGGTTCCCTTACATCTGCTACCAGAACGGAGGGGGTAAGGACACCACTGGGCTTATTTAAGTCTTCTTTTGGAGAAATGATGCCTTTTCCCTCACTTTCCATCCTTCTCACCCTGAAAAATTCACTCTTTCTTTTCTTTCTTTGTTTGCAGCCGATCCACTTCAGACAGGGCGGTTTAGAGACCGACCCAACTTCTCCCGACATCTGTCTCTTTTCTGTTTCTGTCTTTCTTCATTCAAGATCCTCCCCC